AGGGGAAGTGGGAGAGGGAGAAGCAGGCTTCCCGCTGAGCAGAGAGCCTGATGTGGGGCTCGATCCCAGAACCCTGGGATCATGACCTGAGCCAAAGGCAGACACTTAACGACTGATGCCCCTGGATCCTCTCTCTTCCTCACACCTTAGATGCTGTACCCTGAGTGAGGAGCTTGTCCCCGCACCTCTTACCTTCACTCTTTTCCTTGGACAATTTTAGTCACATCCACTGTAGTCACTACCAAGCTAATGCTGGTGACTCCTTTTTTTTTTTTTTTAAGATTTTATTTATTTATTTGACACAGAGAGACACAGCGAGAGAGGGAACCCAAGCAGGGGGAGTGGGAGAGGGAGAAGCAGGCTTCCCATTGAGCAGGGAGCCCAACCCAGGGCTCCATCCCAGGACCCTGGGATCATGACCTGAGCCGAAGGCAGACGCTTAGCCAACTGAGCCACCCAGGTGCCCCAGCTGGTGACTCCTAAATCCCTATCTCCTGCCAGACTTCTCCTTTGAACTCCATACCCACACATCCAACTGTTAAATCAAATCAGAAATCGGGATGTCACCATGAAATGCCTCCTTTTCCATCAATTCCCACATTCTGCTAAGAACTCAACCTCTTAATATTTTTAACATCTAATTTCTCAATTTCCAAAGATCACTTTTAGGAATCCCCAGAAATTATAAGTGCATTTTGGGGGAGAGGAGCATAGGAGCATAGCTTCCCAACCAATTCTCAAAGGGGACCATCATCCCCTAAAGGTCAAGAGCCACTGCTAATCTCTCCCCTTCAATTTCATCCCTCACCCCATCAGAATGATCCATCTAAAATGCAAATGTAAACTGACACCCCTTGCTTAAAATCCTTCAATGACCTTCAAAAACAGTGTGAGCACCCTAGAACTGTCCTACAATGTCCTTATCATGCGGAACCCTGCTTCCCTCTCTAGTCTTACTTCTTGCTATTCTCCTCAGCACTGTGGCAGATGAGTCCACTTGTTGTCACCCACCCACCCCATGTCTCTGCATGTGTTGTTCCTTCTACCCAGAAGATCCATCCCTCTTAGTCTGCCTGGCAATCTCCCACTCATCCTTAAGACCCAATTCAAAGTCACTTACACTATGACACTTCCCAGACAGCAGCCTGCCCTCAGGTAGAGCTTATCACTGCCTATGTCAGTGCTATCTCCATTCTTTGTACATCTACCTTTGCAGTATCACTCTGTACTGTGGTACCTTGTTCGTAGGTCTGTCTTCTCACTTGACTGGGAACACTGTTGAGGGCCTAGACCATGTATATTCATTTCTACATTCCCAGCATCTGGCAGAGTGCCTGACACTCAGTAAATGCATGTTGAATTATAAAGAAATAAAACTAATGAGCAATTACAACTGTAGAGCACTTTACAATTCACACATCACATACTTTATCTCTTGATGTTCACAATACTGATAAGGTAGAAAAGGGATATATTACTGGGGTTTAGGGAGGTCCTGCCAAGGTCACAAATGACAACTCACCACCTCCTTTCAGTACTGAGCACAGTATAAGGCCCACAGAAATATCTATTAGAAATTTAGTAAATTTGATGGACCTGGCACGGACTCTGCTCCAATAGTAAAGGACTGTCCAATTGAGCCTGTGACTTTTCTTTGAATTTGCCTAGACACACTCTTGGCAAAGGGCTAGCACCCTTGTTCTTTTCTACCCTACTCACACATCCTGTAAGTCAGGTACCTCCTGAGAAAAAGTCTATCCAATCCAAAGATAAGAGAACCACAAGATTCTTTGGTTCCTGTCTACTTCACCAATGAGAATGACCTAGAACTAGATACAGTAGGCAACAGATATTGGTTGAATGGATGAAAGAGCGAAGTATCTTTAAACTAAAAAAAAAAAAAGAAAAATCTGGTTAAGAAGGAGCTAAAGGCTTGGTAAGGAGAGAGGAGAGCCCTGGAATGATTCTAAAGGACTGTGACTTTTCAGGGTTAGAGCACATGAAGTTGGAGGGCAGAGCACATACAAACTGATACGCCAGGGAAAACTGGATAAGCTGCTGGAAATTGGCAGGCAGTGCAGTCTGTAATTTAACAACAACAACAACAAAAACCCAAAACAACAACAACAACAACAAAAAAAAGATGCAGAGACAGGCATATCCTGCAAGCTACAGAAGAGTGAGTTCATCAATAATTCTGACAAAATTCTAGGATGTATTTTTTTTAATGGTTCTTAAACACTTAGGTAATTACTGAGTATCAGTGTGGGCTCCCTAAGGACAAGATAAGACCATACCAGAATAACTTAGTATCTTTTGGGGAAAGGGTTATTGGGCAAAAAAATATGACAAATGCTAAAAGCACATTTTTATTTTAGCAAGAAACCTAAGAAAATCTCTTAAAATTCTGTGGACAACATGAGAAATGGAGGCTAAAAAAAAAATGAAGTTTGGTGGATACAGCTGTGAATGTTGAGTAATGTTTCAAAATTGTGATGATTACATGCTCCAAGGCTCCATACTGAACTGAGTCCTTATAAACATTTAAACCAAAGACTAGCACATAAAGTACATGATGGCAGGGATCTTGCCTGTCTAACTCACCAACGCCTAGAACACTGTCTGCTAGGTAGGAATATAAATATATGAATAATATGTGAATGTAAATATATGTAAATATATGAATCCACAGAAAGTCTACTCACTAAATTTGTAGATCATACAAAATAAGAAGAGATACTTAATATTTTTATCTTATTTCATAAGGAATATAATAGTCTTTTCCAATATTTTTGTTGTCTATCTACCTACCTATCTAGAATGTAGGCTGGCTAGTGTAAAAGTTAAAAAAGTTCAGAGGAGGCTGACAGAAAGAAAAGAAAGGAAGGAAAGAAGAAAGAAAAAAGAAAATACCTACAACAGGGTCAGCACATACAGCCTATGGGCCAAATCTAGCCTGCTGCCCATTTTGGTAAAGTTTTACTGGTTCATACCCACGCACATTTGTTGCATGTTGTCTACAGCTGCTTCTGCACTAGAGTGGCCAAGCTGAGTACTCACAACTCAGACCAACTGACCCACAAAGCTTAAAAACCACTATGCAGCTTTTTCCAGAAAAAGTTTCCTGACTACTGATCTAGAATGTCGAATATGAGCATCCATCTGGAGAGAACAAAGATATAAAACTTAAATGTAGGGGGAAGGGACTGGTGTGACAGCAGAGGCTGGCCTACATGGCTTCACAGCTCTGGGATTCTGTGAAATCAAAAATAATGACTGAGCCCTGCTGGGATCCCGAGGGCAGATGATAAGGCACTCAAATAATCCCTTCCCTTCCACCTGGCTCTGCCCCCTCAGCAAACGCTCCTCTTTGCTTTTTGGTGAGAGCACCTGGACAGAAGACCGAGCTGAGGACAGTAATGCTATGTCTGAGAGAGAAGACAACCCACATGATGAGTCTCCACATAACAGGCTGCAAATATAGGGCAAATTTGGTACTCATGAAATTCTCCTCTGAAACATAAAGTGAACATAATTCCTCCAACTCAGTGGGGAATCCAAGGAGGCATAGGTCATGGCCTGCACACAGAACTGTCAGCTGAGCAGGAGAGGAAAGACATATGGGCAGATGAGAGTTCAAATAACCATATAAAAGGCCAAGATTTAGAGAACATTCAAAAGAGCAGCTGGGGGCAGGCTGCAATTATTGCCAAGGACAGGGAAGGCTTCGTGGAGGATCCAGCCACAGAAGTGGAGCTTGACAAAAGGAGCAGGTTTAGAGAGGTAGACAGGCAGGGGGAAGGCAACTCCACACTTCCCCTGGGCAGCAATGCTCTGCTGCTCTTGACATTGCTCTTACGCTGCTGACCTGAGAAACCTCGCAGGGGCAGCAAGCACACCCCTGCCGTGGGCTACCACAGCTACGTCGGTCCAGCAGCCTCACTGACAGCTCGGAGGACCAAGTGCACTGCTTGCCTCACTGGGCCTCCCTTCAGTCAATGTTCTGACCCTCAGGCAGTCGGCATGGCTGTCCGTCCTCCTGGCATCACTGCCAACCCGAGAGCAGTACTGCTCAGCTGCCCTATTGCTGGAAACAGGGCTGGTTATCGCAGCCTTTGAGTGACACAGGATAACGGACAGGCAGGGGGGCCAGTATGAACAAGCAAAAGCTCAAAAGTAAAATAAATATTCACTGCTGTTTGTAGCCAAAGCAACATATCCTCTTCCATACCTCACTTTTGAAGAACCACTCACCAGAAGTAGCAAAGACTGACTTGCCTGAGTACCCTCTGACAGACATGTGACTGAACCGTGATACAGGTGCACACCACCTCTTTCTTCGGAAGTCCAAACAACCCACATTAACATCCTCAGGAGGCACAGATGACCACCCCATTTTATAAGCATAGACATCAAGGCACAGAGAAGGTCCACTATTTGTCCTGGGTCATAATGGTAAATTGAGGGCCAATCCCAGAGATACGATTTCATTTTGCATATAGAAGGGGAAAAAAGCAGTATTCAGAGTAGTACTGAGGGACTTCTGAGGCAGAGGAAACCAGGGAGGCTGCTTTCTAGTTCTGGGACAGGGATGGGATAGGTTAAGTCTGCAGGAAGTAGAAGAGGAACAAAGCCACATTTCATGCAGTTGCCTTAATTATTTTATGGAAACCTGCTCCATTATCCACTCACCTGAGGCTCTATGGGCTGAGGTGCTGTCAGGAGAACACCAGGTGAAAGGTATCCCCCACTCCCTGCTCTGGTCATGAAGTCAGGCCTCTATCTTATTCCCCAAGACTTCTGAAGGGACATAAATGATAGAGGCAGAAGAGACTGTGAAGGGTGTCTGTTCCAAGCTTTCTGGGTTATCCATGCGTTCCCAGAGGATGAGGGACTTGCAGGCTCTCACTCTGAGTTGCTGGTAGGGCTGACAGAGAGCAAGGCTGCCTAGAAGCCAAAGGGAGGAGAGTGCTCACAACAACAGGGTGGTCTGTGCTTACCTTCCAAAGAATGGATTCCCTGCTCCTTGGCAGTCTTATAAACACTGCTGAAATCATCCCCAAGGTTTGGGTCAGCACCAGCAGCAAGCAGGATCTGCACCACACTGGAAAAAATCAGAAAGACAGAAGTGTCAAAAGCTGGAAAGGCCTAGGAAGTAGAGACTCAGATTCTGAAGCATGTTTGGGGATTGGAGCTGCTTCTGCTCATGTGAGTGGTACAGGGGAAAGAACGGAAACTCTGCCAGTGTAAAAGACAAGGAAAGCTCCGAAACTGACTAGCCGTGTGGCTCTGGTCAAGTTATTTAACACCCTTCTAAGGCTAGGTTTCCACAACTACAAAATACAAAGTATTTATTCAACAATCACTTATCAAATGCTTACTGTGTTGTAGTCACTGTTGTAGGTGCTAGGGTCTGCACCCTCATGGAGTTTATGATCTTCTGGGAATATCAAGAATTCAGCATGAAATTATAGCAATGTGTGGTAAAGGCTATGATGGAGGAAGTACTGGGGCGCCTCGGTGGCTCAGTTGGTTAAGCATCTGCCTTCGGCTCAGGTCATGATCCCAGGGTCCTGGGATCGAGCCCCACGAGCCCTGCATCGGGCTCTCTGCTCAGCGGAGAGCCTGCTTCTCCCTCTCCCTCTGCCTGATGCTCGCCATGCTTTTGTGCACACGCTCTGTCAAATAAATAAATAAATCTAAAAAAAAAAAAAAGAAGTAATAGTAGTACCATGTACAGTGGGAAACCAAGGGGATCAGGAAAGGCCTCCCAGGAAAAAAGTATGGAGGTTCCTCAAAAAGTTGAAAATAGAGCTACCATATGATCCAGCAATTGCACAACTGGGTATTTACCCCAAAGATACAAAAGTAGGGATCTGAAAGGGTACGTGCACCCCGATGTTTATAGCAGCAATGTCCACAACAGCCAAACTGTGGAAAGAGCCAAGATGTCCATCGACAGATGAATGGATAAAGAAGATGTGGTATATATATACAATGGAATATTATGCAGCCATCAAAAGGAATGAGATCTTGCCATTTGCAACGACATGGATGGAACTGGAGGGTGTTATGCTGAGCGAAATAAGTCAATCAGAGAAAGACACGTATCATATGACCTCACTGATATGAGGAATTCTTAATCTCAGGAAACAAACTGAGGGTTGCTGGAGTGGGGGGTGGGGTGGGAGGGATGGGGTGACTGGGTGATAGACACTGGGGAGGGTATGTGCTCTGGTAAGCGCTGTGAATTGTGCAAGACTGTTGAATCTCAGATCTGTACCTCTAAAACAAATAATGCAATATATGTTAAGAAAAAAAAAGAAGAAGAAGATAGCAGGAGGGGAAGAATGAAGGGGGGAAATCGGAGGGGTAGACGAACTATGAGAGATGATGGACTCTGAAAAACAAACTGAGGGTTCTAGAGGGGAGGGGGTTGGGAGGATGGGTTAGCCTGGTGATGGGTACTGAGGAGGGCATGTTCTGCATGGAGCACTGGGTGTTATGCACAAACAATGAATCATGGAACACTACATCTAAAACTAGTGATGTAATATATGGGAATTAACATAAAAAAAATCTTCAAAAAAAATATCATAATAAACGCATGGTGTCAGCCACAAAAAAAAAAAAAAGAAAGGGAATTGTACAGCTTTTGCTGTATATAATATACTATTTTGTATTTTTGGATTATTCTTTAATAATACTTTAGATAATTATACTAATACTGAAGACAGTAATACTTTAGAATTAATTACTTTAGAAAAGTATGCATTAATTTTGAAAACTCCTTTTTTAAACAAAATAAAATAAGTCCTAATAAATATTGTACCTCCCAAAAAAAATTTTAAAAGTCCACTTCCCTTCTATTACGGCATATTCCTGCTCACGCTTTCTTTTTTCCTTAAGGGGAAAAAACCAAAAAACAAAAAAGACTCTGCTCACTATAAAAAATTCAGACACTATAAATAGCTAAAAAGAAGAAAATGTTTTTAGAATATATAACACCTTTCCATTTTTTTAATGTATGTATATTTTTATTTACAAAAATAAGATCATACATAAATGCTCTCTAAACACATAGAAACATACACTTTTTTTATAAAGATTTTATTTACGAGAGAGAGAGAGAGAGAGAGCACACGAATGTAAATATGCAAGTGGGGACAGGGGCAAAGGGTGAGGGAGAGGGAAAGTGAGGGAATCTCAAGCAGACTCCACGCTAAGTGCAATGCAGAGCTGGATCTCACGACCCTGAGATCATGACCTGAGCCAAAACCAAGAGTCGGATGCTTAACCGACTGAGCCATCCAGGAGCCCCAACATTTCCATGTTTTTTTTAAAAGATTTTATTTATTTATTTGAGAAAGTGTGAGAGAGCAAGAGTGAGCGAGGTGAGGAGCATAGGGAGAAGCAGGCTTCCTGCTGAGCAGGGGACCCAAGGTGGGGCTCGATCCCGGGACTCTGGGATCATAACCTGAGCCGAAGGCAGACCCTTAACCCACTGAGCCACCCAGGCACCCCCCAACATTTCCATGTTTTAAGTATTTGTCTACCACATTGTTTTTAATAGCTGCACAGTGTTCTACTATAGTATACTTTATTCAACCAATTCCCTATTGTAAAACATTAGATTATTTTTAATATTTCAATAACACATATCTGATTATTTCCTTTGGATAAATTCCTAGGAGATTAAGTTCTAGGTCAAAAGTGTGAGCCTTTTTTTTTTTTTTTTTGAGATTTATTTATTTGAAAGAGAGAGAGAACGAGCAGCGGGGAGGAACAGATGGAGAGGGAGAAGCAGACTCCTCACTGAGCAGGGAGCTAGGTGCCAAGATCATGATCTGAGCCGAAGGCAGATGCTTAACTGACTGAGCTACCCAGGTGCCCCAAAAGTGTAATCCTTTTTAAGGGTTTTGATAAATACTATCAAACTGAATTTTAGGAAGATTGTACCTTTTTTTTTTTTTTTTTTTTTTACTAGCAAAGGAAGAAGGATGAGAGTAACTTCTGTGCCTTCCTTTCACAAAATAGGGTGTTTATTTTTCTTTATCATGTGCCAGTCTGGTAAGCAAAAATGGAATCACACTGCCATTTCTACTTGGATTTCTTGGATTACTAATGCGGCTGGACTTAAGAAATAAATGTTTAGTAGTCATGTTTCTTTTTTCATGAATCACAATAGTTGACTGTATTTTCATAATGTCCTTTGACCATTTTTCTCTTAGTATGTTAATCTTTTGCTTACTGGCCTTCAGAACTGTTAATGCTTTCGAAGGCGTAATGGTAAGCGTTTCAAAAAATTACTCTATCATAACTATTAAAAAGTCAAACTATAGTTTTAGTTTTTCTCTTCTTTGTTAGTTTTTCAATATCTGTAATCAGCAGTGTTGATGGTTTTCCCTGTACCAACTGGCTTGAATTTCATTACCTTCAAATAGGCATAGAACTTGGCTCAATTATTTGCTGAATGGATGGATGAATTTTAGTAACTCCTATGTACACAGACACACAGTCCTCACTGATAAGTCAAAGAACCAGAATCCATCTCCCACGTAGCTGAGGTTCTCCTACAACTGACCTAACATGGTCAGGTTGAGTCTCAGGTGTCTATTCACCTTACCTAAAAGGATCTTAAGAATTACCTTTCATAGGCAATCTATCCAGTATATCGATTACAATCCTAAGGAGAAATGAGAAGGATCTCTAAGCAGCTAAAATCCATGTCTAAAACTCAGATATTGAATTCACAGCAGAGTCTGTCAGGTTCTCACTTGGAGACGTATCTGCTCTTAGTTTACACATAGTTGGGATAAAACTGGCATTGGTCTGTTTCCCAGAAGATGAAAAGCCAAGAGGGTACAAAAAGGCTGTTATAGATAGGCAAACCAACACAGAAGGCAGTGAGAAAAAATATCTGCTAGAGAGGTAGCATGGTATAGAGATTAAGAACATTGGCTTTAAAATCTGGGACAATCTGCGCATCAACATGAGTAATCACAGTAATGGATTATAACCCATTGAGTAAAAAAAGATTCCATAATTCCACACTGAAAATAAGTAAGTTAATGGGATGAAAGGAAAGCTCTTCCTTACTGTAGAATGACAACTAATAAATGTAGAAGGAACAATGAAATTAGAACATCATCTTGCAATCTCATAATTATCACGGATAAAAAGAGCATCTGGCTCACATGGCTGTGTTAATGCATGTGAAGTGCTTAGAACACCATCTGACATATAATAAGTGCTCAACAAACATTGGTTATTATTTTTACCATGTCCCTGACCTTGTGGTTGGGCTGTGGGGAAGTCAAGAGAAATGTGAATTGAGACACTTAAATTGGGAAGATAGCACATTTTATAACAAGCACAGAAAGATCTGGGTTCAAATCAGAGCTCTATCATTTACTGTCTGTGATCCTGGACAGGTTACTATACCTCTGACGCCCATTCCCTTACCAGAATAATGGAGATAAAAATGCCCCTCTTACAGGTTATAAGCATGTAAAACTCAGTAGTGCATGGCACACAGAAGGAGTCCATAAATAAGAGATCTCTTCCCTTTGTCCATATAATCTTAGTAATAATAACATGATTCTGGGCGGAAGTAGGCACCAGATGTACACCTGACCACCAAACTCAGGACTCATGCTGGCACAGCCCTGTGTTAAGAAGGCAACACTTCTTTCTATATTCTGCATAAGGTGGCTTGTTTTAAAATCCGAGTGAGAAAGGTTTGTCGATCTAAACTCAAAGGGACATAATTTGGTTAATCCTCAGCTGCTGTGTCCAATCACTATTCAATCACAACCCCTCCCATGGCAGGCTGTCCCTCTAGGCAGCTAGTGTCACTAACTGTGCTACCTGGGCCTCTCCAGGTTCGTGAGTATTGATTCCATCTGTCCAATTTGCAGGCTGCAAGACGTGTCCAAGCAACCAAGTATGCTGCCCTTGGCCCTGGAGGGCAGACAGTGGTCTGGTAGGATGGAGAGAAGACAGTGACTAGGCTCGGCCCTCAGACTGCTAACCCAATCAAAGGGAATGCGCAATTCACTTCACAAACTTGGAGGCCAAAGAGGATAAGCAACCAAGCTAGTG